CACCATGGGATTTTGTTATGGCAGCCCGAGCAGGCGGAGACGGGCACCCAGAACCTCTCTCTTCTCCAATGAAGTTTAATACACTGCTCTATCTGTTCTTCTTCCCTTTCTCCATCTTCAAAACAGAACAAAAGTAAAAAAGCATGCCATTAATTATTCACTGGAAGCCGTGTTTCAAGTCAATTAGTTGTCTGAGTTCCCTTCAGGTGGAGCAGACATGGCTCTGTTGCAAGTCCGTGCTCTGGGGGCCCCTGCATAGGTTCATGGCAGATCTGGGACTTGCACTGTGACTCTGACTCTAATTTCAGGCTGCTGAAGCAGCCCTGCGAGCAGCCTGGGAGGAAGGGTGGTGTTAGGAAGGAGGCACGGTGTGGGGACTGTTTTGTGCCGAAACCCTGCAGTGTAAAGGCTACTTCAACCGTGACTCTTACAGTCTCTTTCATTTTCCTTCCAGATCGAGTTCTGTCCAATCCTTTTCCCTCTTCTTGACACTCACTCTTTCTGCCTCCTTATCCTCCGCAACAGTGGGCCTCTGGGCTGCGGGCAGCACCTGGAGCACCTTGGGAAGCAGGGACCAGGGGATGAGGGAGTGGGGATGGTGTGGGGTAGAGAGCGGATGCACGTGTCTGCCTCTCTGGTGTCACTGCTACTGGCCTGGTTCTGCTGGTGGAGGATGCGCCTGACCCTGCAAGTGGACACTCTGTTCTAGTTGCTGCTACATTTGAGATGGAAAATAGAAAAAAATATACAATAATCACAGTGAAAAGCTGACTCTGCCCTGCCTACCCTTTGGTTTCTGTGTGTGAAGTGGGGCAGAGGATGGGTTTGATGCAGAGGGATGGTGGGGTAAGGAGGATCTTCGCCCTCTGTGATATTGAACAGCTTCATCTGACCGTCCTGCGTTTTATCTTCTTGCTTGTGGCTGGCACGTGGTGTGACGCACCTCCCACTCCAAAGGCTGTCTGACGAAGTTCTGCAGTAATGCTCTCTCCTTGGCTCTATGTGTGGGACGAGAGGCTAAGGAAGTGGTCCTGTTTGGGGTTCAGGGAAGGTTTTTCTAAGAGAAGTGTGACATTTTAAACATACATCATCCACATGGAAAGGGAGATGGGAGAGGCAAAGCAGAGTGACCCAGGCTTCTCCGGCTCTTTCAAAATGAATTGTGTTAGTCTGCCTCTGCACTGCCCCTCCCCCCACCTGGAATTTACAGAGTGAAATGTATGGAGAGAGCGCCTGGGAGATGAAGAGCCTTCTACAGCGTGCTGGCTCTGGGGATGGAGGGAGATGGGATATAAAGGAGGGAGAAAACCCAGATCCTGTCCCCAGAGTCTTCCAGGAGAGCTCTAAGCACAGACCCAGATCGGAAGGGGCAGGATTGCAACAACGAGGCAAAGTGGAGCCTGGGAAAGCCGTGCAGCCCCTCCCGATGTGGCACCCACTGTATCTGCACCGTTTGCAACCTTCTAATTACGCCGCTGGTGGCAAGAATGAGGTCATGGTGTCTGCAAGTGACTTTCCCAGTAATGAGCCCCTCTCAAAGTGGCAGGCTCCCTGCTCAGCCTCCTCCCGGGCCAGCGAAACTCTGATAAGAAGAAAATCAGAGTTCCTTTCCTGTGTGTGTGTACAGGCTGAGGCCAGAAAGAGCCTGAGCTCTCTTCTCCATCCCAGATGGATGGAGACAGATTTGCTGTAAGAGTTGCTGGTAGGGTACCGTCCTCTCCACTCACTAACATGCATGCATGCCCGGAGACTTCCAACAGCAAAGGAAACCTGCTCTCACACTGCAGCCCCTGGTTGGTCCCCAGTTCTGGCCTTTGGGGATTAAACTCCCAGAAGAAGGTGCATTGTGCAACCATGTCTCTTCTTACAAAGAGAACAAATGCTGTTCAGGGGCCTCAGGAGCATCCAGTTCAGACTCCCGGCTGCTGGAAGTCTGGGATTGGATTCCAACAGGGTGGAATCCACCAAGGTTTCAGACATTTGTGTCCATGTGAGCTCCCACCCTCTGAGAACAGAGATGCAGCCTTTCTGCTATTTCTTTGCGGGCTGAAAAGGAGAGGTTCAGGCAAATCTGGCTCTCAGGCCCCCTCTGTGAGCGAGCAGTGTAACAGCACCCTGCAGACCAGCTGTTCTGCATCATCTGGGAAAGGCCTGAGCTCTAGGTTGGAGTGTTTGGAGCATGTAGTAGGGGGCGTGTGAGGTCACAGCCAGGCATCACTAAGCAGCTGGAAGTGGCATGGCCACCAAGGGAAAGGAGGGCTGGCCATACCTAGGCCGCCTGTCCCCAAAGCCCTGCCATTTACCAGCTGGGCTTCAGGTTGAGCACAGGTTGCCAGTGGGGGAAAAAGTCACAAAATGTTTGAATTATGTGATTGAAGAACTGTGGGGAAGGCAGGCTAGCTTCTCAGCCATTTTCAGAAAATGCCCACAGTTCTTTCTCCAAGAGAGCTGAAATGAGAATATAAAAGTACTGAAATGTTTGCGATGGCTGTGTCCACTCCACAGCAATCAGCAGGGGTGCCCTCTGGGGTGGAGGGGGCCCTGCAGGCAGAACCTCTAAGGACAAGACAGGAGAGGCATCATGAGGGGCCAGGCTAGGTGAGACCACCAGAGAGAGGAGAAAAGGGCTTGTGCCAAAAGGTGCAGGGTCTCAACAGCTCTTTGCTCCCCAGCAGAAACACCAAGAGGCAGGGCTGACTTCTCCCAGTGGCTCAGCAGGCACAGTGCCAGGGAGCACCTCTTTTAGGGGCCATGATAATGTTTTAATTTCTTTAAAATCTGAAGAAACAAATGAAATTTTAGGTTGAAGAAAATATTTTACTATGTAATATTAATATATTGGTCTTTATACCAACACAGTCATAAAATACTATTTTAATTTTATTTATTTATTTATTTCCCCCCCCAAAGCCCCAGTAGATAGTTGTATGTCGTAGCTGCACATCCTTCTAGTTGCTGTATGTGGGACGCTGCCTCAGCATGGCCGGAGAAGCAGTGCGTTGGTGCGCCGGTGCGCCCCCAGGGATCCTAAGCCGGCCGCCAGCAGCGGAGCGCGTGCACTTAACTGCTAAGCCACGGGGCCAGCCCTAAAATATTATTTTAAATTATTATTGTCATTTTATAGAGGAAAGGGTCCACGGAAGCAGAAACGTTTAACCGGGTCCTGCAAACCGGAGCTGGGCTTCTGGCCACTGCCCTGGAGGGTGCTAGTCCCGCTCACTCCTCTGGGCCACGAGGAGGGAAACCTCCCAGTGCTCTTCTTCGTGGCTCACTCACCAATTCTCAGTTCTCCTACCCTTTGCAAGCAGAGCTCAAAAGAAAAAAAAAAAAGAAACAAAGAATGCATACGCCTTGGCACCGACTTCACTTTCTCAGCCATCCGTAAGTCCCTGGCCTCTCTTTTGTCTTGCTCTCCGCCCTGAGCGTTTCCAGACTTTTGAAAGCCTGACCTAGGAAGGGGAAACTGGAATCAACCACTTGACCGACCCTCTCTTCCCAACACACCTTCCAACCCTGTCACTCAGTGTCTGGGAAGGTTGTTGGGGTTCTCGGTTATGGGAGAGAGTGGGAATCAGAGGAGGCCTCTGCGAGAGGGGTGGGGGCCGAGTGGAAGGAAAGGCTGGGCGAGAGAGCGGACGGGCTCGGCGCGCATCCCTCTTCGGTACGGTACGGGGTTGGCATTGCTGCCCTCGGGCGAGTCCCGGAGACGCTGGACGCCCGCGCCCGCGCAGACTGATTGTGTTTCTGCGGGGCTCGCTCCCGGGCCTGGCTCGGGGCCGCCGGCGCCGCCGCCGCCGCCGCCCCTCCCTGCGCGCAGGCTGC